GTTCATGGCTGCATCCACTTCCTCCACAGTTGCATATGTGACGAACCCAAAGCCCCTGGAGCGCTTGGTGTTTGGATCTCTCATTACCACACAGTCTGTGAGCATTCCCCATTGCTCAAAATGGCTCCTCAGGCTCTCATCGGTTGTTTCAAAGCTCAACCCTCCAATGAAGAGCTTCCTCAGCTGTTCCGGCTCTTTAGGAGACTCTGACTTAGACATGATCGCAGGGAGAAGAGGGACTGTAACGATGCTTCTTCGGCGGCGTCCACGGGCCTTTGCTTTGTTTTTTAAGAAGGAGTCTCGCTCTGTCACCCAGGCTGGAGTACAGTGGAGTGATCTCAGTTCACTGCAACCTCCTTCTCCCAGGTTCAAGAGATCCTCCTGCCTTAACCTCCTGAGTAGGTGAAATTACAGGCGCATGCCACCATGACTGGCTAATATCTGTATATTTAGTAGAGAAGGGGTTTCATCATGTTGGTCGGGCTAGTCTCGAATTCCTGACCTCGTGACCCACCCGCCTCGGCCTCCCAAAGTGCTGGGATTACAGGCGTGAGCCACCATGCCAGCCTGATATCATGTAGTTTTGAAGAAAAAATATCCCACCTACTTTGCCATTTGAAGACCATTATTTACAATTTTGCCAAATTTCCATCCTAATCATGCCTAGGAGGATATGAAATAGGGTTGCCCAACCATCCCAGTTTACTCAGGACTAAGTGGGTGGTGGAGTGGAGTGGGGCTTCCTTGAATGAAGAATGTTTAGTTTTAAAACCAGGTCTGTCCCAGGCAATCCAGGATGAGTTGGTCACATTTGTATCTGGAATAATTTATAAGCTTTTCTCAAACAAGATATTGGCAACGATAAACAGTGGTAAACCTGTGGATTTTTAACAAGACAAACCAGAGTTTGAATGCTAGAGTCAGAATTTCCCAGTTCTGTCTTGCAAAAGTTACTTCACCCCTTACCCTAAACACTCCCTCCCTCCCACACATTAGGACCTTCACTTGCGAATGAGAGAAATAGCAGATCCTCTTATACATGGGGAGGCCAACCTTCCCAGCCCCTACCCTTGTCTTTCCCTTTCCTTATTCTCCTCTACATAAATTTCCCCATTTCTTTCTGATTTACTTTTTGTCTTTTGAGTTTTTTTATTCTGTGTTATTAGTTTGTTTTTTTTTGTTTGTTTTTTTTTGTTTTTGTTTTTGTTTCTGTAAATCAGCCCAGAACCTTTTGGAAAATAAACATTTTTCAAGGTAATATACAAATATTTTCTTTCATTTTTCAGAAAAACTATGATGTGATAGTAAAGTAAACCAAACATAAATGGTTTTAAAGAGAATACTCATCATTTTCTTTTAAGATCTGCATGTTTTACCAAAACATCCCCAGATAGCAAACCAATGAAGAAAACAAATATATACACTATATTCCTTCCTAGTATAGTTTGTCTCTAATGCTTGTTATCCAGAGACGTTAACTAGAAATTATGATGTGCAATAGCTGGCCTGATGTAAAGCCAAATTTGTCATCCATCTGAGGATAAAAGCAAGCATTAGAGGCCACAAAGCATGCAAGAAGACCTCCCATTAAGAAGCATGCAGCACTCTTAGGTTTCAACTCAATATGCATATTGAGAAACTTGGATAATGCAGATCAGCTTTCTGATACAGGTCCCAGACCCAGCCCTGCCTTTGGATATCTTTAGCCTCCTCTGTGTGATTCAGGCTCTCTGACAAGACAAAAATATAAATAAAAAACTTTGAAACCAAGAATTCTGACCTAATAAGAACACCTGTATCAGAAATAGATTGTTGAAATGTGAAGCTAGCTAAATAAACGCAAGAATGCAAACAATGGGATCACTCCATCCTAACCTGAAAAACCATCACTTAATATTAAAGAGCAGCTAAGTGGTTTGGTTAATAGAAGTCTCATCAGTTCTTGGAATGTGTATGCTAAGACTGGAGCTTCAGGGTATTCCGCAGAAAACTGCCCATTTATTGGTATGTTAGATTTCTTAAGGCCTTTAGAAGTATCTACAACGAAACAATAAACTTCATTCTAACTAGCTGAAGTAAAAGCCAACTAGAAAAAGTAGACAGCTTTATTAAAAGCTGTTTTTTACTTACAGGTAATACAGCCAGAGCCAGCAACATGTAAATAAATTTGTTATTGTGTAAACTTAAAAAGGTCCTCTCCTCTGTATAGACACATTTCCAAAAATCATGCTTGGTGTGGTTCAGGTACTGGTGAGTACAGGAAGAACTAGAGTTCAGTCCCCACTCGCCTTTGTGCAATTCACACATGTACAAACTAAGCAACAGTCTTGGTAGTCAGGGATCTGGGACCACTAAAGTTAAGATAATCATATACATGTTAGCTGAATTTCAGCAGCCAAGTTACTTGTTACAATTTGAATTTAGTGTGCTGACTAAAGTGCTGGAAAATGGAACAGGAAATATTAGGGAGGAGATTGAGCTGTTGAAGACTGAAACCCCAGGCTCACCCAAGTGCCTCCCCCACTCACTGCCCTTAAGTCATTCAGCTAATTCATTCACAAGGGGTAAATTCTGGGGAAGGTGCAGCAATCCAGGTCAAGCCTCACCACTCACAGAAGTAGCGCTAGTGACAGGAAGCTATTAAATTGATGCTAAAGAAGCTATGGAGAGCCCAGAGCCCAAAAACAAAAGTGGTGAAGCAAGGGACCTGAGTCAAAGATCATTATTTGACACAAATTTGGAGCCAGTAGCCAGAAAATGAAGTCTTCTTACTGCTACCTCCAAAAAATAAGGATAGATAAGCAATCAACAAAACTCATAAAGAAACTGTATTGCTAGAAACGTCCCTAGCCTAGCAAATAAAGGCTTATGACTGTTCCACCCTAAGGCAATCTGAATCCGAGTTCTTGTTACCAACAAGGAAAGCACTGCTGAGGCTCCTCCAAGGGAATCCTCCCTGAACCCCTTCTCAGAGATGGCTATGAAGGGCACCAAACAAGGGGAATCTTCTTGGCAGATAATCCTGCAGTAAACAAATCCACTGTGACAGAACCCAGACCAAGGTTAGGGAAGAAACTCAACAGCAAGATGCTTATGATAGTCCCTGGCCATATCAGCTTCTGTACCAGCCCTGGCCAGGGAAATACAATGGATTCCCTAGACCAGCACTGTACTTCAGAGTTTGCACTGTGGCTGTCCTACAATCTGTCTATTCAGATCATGTTTTAAGCCATATGTTGGAAGATCAAGAAGGGTTCCATCCAAATCTGATTTAGGTCAGATTTCTGAATTACTTCAGAGGAGTAACAAACATTACCTGGAGGTCTGCAGAATAAGATGACAATAGCTCTAGATGCTTCATCTGGATGTGACCTTGATTTGTCTCTCATTAGGGAAAGAAGTACATGTATGTTTGTGTGAGGGATCGCTGGATCTCACTAAGTGGAAACATTGTGACATTATCTGCATGTTTACACACACACACCTGTGTGCTGATCAGCCGAAAACAAGACCATAGTAGATAACTTCTCTTGGTCTCTCCAACATGACCCCTTTCTTCTGGTAGTAGTAAAGATACTGAGTCTTGGACCTCAACTTACTGACATAAACCTTTCACAAAAATAAAGTATTTTTAATTGTCTGCATTTTGTGCACACAGTTTGACAATACTGAGCATTTGCTGACTTGCCTTGATTATATAGAGTTCCTGAAGGACAAGATCCTATATTCTTAGAATTCCATCAACCTTATCAGACACGTATGCTGACAAAGAGCCTTGTACGTTGTTCAGCACCCAGTGGACACCCAGTGAAAATTAACTGATGATGATGAATTATACTAGCTTTTAAGCTGTCACTTGATCCCAGAATATAACAACCTTCCTGAATAAATCAAGCAACAGTTTGGTATTCAATACCATTATAAACTTCATCCTTCACCTTCATGAGTCTAGGGAATTGCTGTAAAAGCATAATATGAGGATGGTGGAACTGTAGCAAGGATTCAAGAAATTCACTCTGCTGTAACAAGGGAATTAAAGATTCAGTTACAGATATCATACTATGTGTGGAGAAATGTATCAAAAATACTAGTTAAGTAACCTTTTTGAAAACAGCGTTAGAAAAGTCAAAGTCAAATTATGTATCTAAAAGTTGTTTTTTTTCCTCCTTGTAATAAAAGCAAACCCAACTTAATATACAAGTGAAACTAGTATATCCTTGAGATTACGGCAGTGGGTATGCAAATGAGGTTCCAGTCAGAAATATGGAATTAGGTAGAGGAACATACAGATTGCTAACTGAACATTCACAAAAGTAAATTAATTTCTGGTAGTATACACAAGGTAAATCAGAAGGAAATCAATTTTATTATTATACATTTCCAAAGCTTTAATAGTAGTGCTGATAGCCCTTGAAGTTCATTGGTGAGCAGCTGTCACTAGAAGGGCTTCCATAAGTTCCCTTAAAATGCAGCCTGAGAAAAGGAAATCTTTGGCTTTAATTCTAATAACAGTTCTCATTATAGATGAGACTCTGACATAAGTTGATAATTTAGGAATGCAAGCGGAGTTCTAAGAATTGACTTAGGAAAAAAACTAGGATGGGGCTAATTAGCTGGTCCAAACCATATAGAAAATCCTGGGGAGTTTCCTCCGTAAAGAAGTAATGAACACACTGCTTATCCCACCTAATCAAACAACAATATTCAGATAAATTACACAACAAAAGTTTTCAAACCTGCAGAAGCAGATTCACATATATGAATTTTAAATTTTTTTATATGTCAAAGATTATAGCTTAAACATAATGAAAAATTTTACCATGTAAATTAATAAGTAAAAATGACACTATTTTCTCATTGTGCTCATTTGTTTTCTCCTGAGATTAGAATCTTGCCCATGTTTTAATTTTTTGGAGCATGATTCGGGGAGTATGAATTTTAGATTTTGTCTTTATAAAAGTAGCGAGACAATTTTAAACTCTCTGGGAATAAAATGTTACGTAAAATATAAGCATCTGCAGGTCAGGTATGGTGGCTCATGCCTACAGTCCCAGCCCTTTGGAAGGCTGAGGCAGGTGGATCATTTGAGGTCAGGAGTTCATAACCAGCCCGGCCAACATGGTGAAACCCATCTCTACTAAAAATACAAAAATTAGCTAAGCATGGTGGCAGGCGCCTGTAATCCCAGCTACTCAGGAAGCTGAGGCAAGAGAATCAGTTGAACCCGGGAGGCGAAGGTTGCAGTGTGCCAAAATCACACCATTGCACTCCAGCCTGGGCAACAGAATGAGACTCTGTCTCAAAGACACATATAAGTATCTGTAAATGGCATAAAGAGACAAACTCATTATCTACATTTTAAGATTTTAACATGATTAAGGCTGGGCATGGTGGCTCAGGCCTGTAATTCAAGCACTTTGGTAGGCTGAGGCAGGAGGATCTCTTGAGCCCACAAGGTTGACACCAGCCTGGATAACACAGCAAGACCCTGTCTTTTTTAAATGAGCTGGGCATGGTGGCATGTGCCTGTGGTCTCTTCTACTCGAGAGGCTAAGGTGGCAGAATCGCTTGAGACTGGGAGGTCTAGGCTGCAGTAAGTTGAGACTGCACCACTCCAACTGGAGCAACAAAGAGAGACTTAGTCAAAAGAATAAAAAGAAAAGAAAAAAAATTAATATGATTGAGACCATTTACACAAATATTTTTCCTCTAATTGTGCAATTAAAATCTACTAAATCTCTCAAGGTAGCTTTGGCTGTAAATTGACTTAAATACATCATTATAAAATATTTGTTTTATATACTATGGCGCCAGGCACCATTCTAGGAATAAGGGACATTGCAATGAACAATCTTGTAAAGACTTGGCCCTCTTAAAACTTACAAATATTTATCATTTTACATAACAGGAAATCCGAAACTAGGGCAGCTCTAGTATTATTAATTTCACATCTTTATATTATGAAAGACACAGGTTCTATATCTTCACAGTCATCTCCAGCATATCAACTTTCTCATCTGACTGTTGCCCTCATAGTTATGAGTCTATGATGCAGCTTCAAGCATTTCATCAAAGAATGACATCAAGCCTTGAAAAAAGGGGGCATTCTCCCTTAATGTCTTTTTCTAAAAATATTTAAAAGCTCTTTACCAGAAACCCTCCAGGAGATTTCCTCTCGCATCTCGTTGGTCAGCACAGAGTCACAGGCAGACTCCCAAGCCAATCACTGGCAAGGGGAACAGGATGACTGTGACTAGCTGTAATTAATCAAAATCTTTTCCTCTGACTTTCATACATCTGAACAAAATCTTTACTCTCTTAAGAAAGAAGGCAAATGTTCAGAGAGCAACAAGTAATTTCAACTGCATTAACATTTGTTAAAAAATTTTTTAAAAGAAAAGTATTGGGAATAATATACAACACCGAGAAATTTGCCAGAACTTAAAAAATCTGAACATTTTACATATTTGCTTTAAGTAGGTAGATTTAATTTAAAAAAAAATCCAGTACTTTTTTGAATGACTGAATATTAGCACCTTCATCCCTTAACATAACTGAGAAGCTAAATTCTGTCCATTAACAATCTCCTAGAATAGTCTGTCCTCTAAATTGTCCTATCGCTACTAACCATGCTTCCCAGATACAACTTCGACATACACTCTGGGAACCTAACCCTGTCCTGCCGGATCAAAACCTTTCAGGGAGTGGATCCTGGAAACAGTATTTGAAAAAAGCTTTCAGTTGATCTTGATATACAACCAGATTTTAAACTATTGCTCCAGTATAAATTATTATTCTGTAAATGTTATTTTATTCTTTTATTATAGTGTTTGGTGACACAAACAACCTGTTCTTTTTGATATTTTCTTGGTGGGAGCCATAGTCATGTGACTGTGGGTTGTAAAATTCCATGATGACACCTTCCACTAAGTCTCATCAGCCTGAAGTGCAGGTGGGTGCTTCGAAAATGATATCTTGGTGGTTTCGTCTTGAGGGTAGAAAAAATAAAACCATATTAAAATGACAACATCCAGTTTGGTGGTGGTTTTCCTTTTTTCTTTTTCTTTTTTCCTGACTAGGACATTAGAGGGAGCGTAATGAGCACAGACTTTCCCAGTCGTAAAAGAGAAGTAACAACCGGCTCACAGTTTCAGCACAGCCAAGCCCAGTGGCACTCACAAATCATTCTTTACCTTTGGGAATTTACTTTGATAATGTAAAACACTAACTGTTATCTTTGACATTATGAAGAACTAATTTTGCTACGTCAAATAAATAATATAGCCTACTAAAACTAAATTGATTTTCTAAATTTGCTCAAAAGATTGCTTTCATTAATGAAATCCTGAAATTTAATCAATGCTTATTTTCAGTGACAATAGCATCTGGCAAATATGTGAAACACTAAAGTCAACTTAAAGAAATCTAGAGATTCGGGTTTTAAATGTTGTCTCTAGAAACAGCATCCTGTTGGCATACTGTACATATATAGAAAAATTGTAACCTGAAGCAACACGGCACGGAGGTGATGTTATTCTATTTTGTATGTAATACATTTTAACTGAAGTACTCTTCTAGGGGAAAACAAAAGCAAAACTAAAAAACAGTGTCAGAATACAAGGGTAAAATGTAAGAAAAATGAAATAATGAAATAGGGAAAGATACAACCAAATGACAGATAAAGAAAAGATTACTTTTTCTCATATTATAAACTTTCATTGAACACCTAATAATATCCAGAAAACTCTGTGCTAGTTAATAGGTGTCAGAGAGGCAATACATCTCGAAAACTCTCCTAGATTACAAAGCTGGCCTGTCTCTGCTCATTCCCCGCCACCTGCCACTGACTGAATGGGTAAGCCCTTGCTATGTGCCTTGCACACAAATACCTCTCAAATGTCAACTGTGTTCCATAATCCATCTTTTCCACCCCATCTTCCTTGCCAAGATCAGTTTAAGTCCTCACCATCTCTTGTCCAGGTTATCTTGGTCTCCTAACCTGAACTCCCAGCCCTCAGATTTTCTCTTCCAGCCTATCTTCCATTTCACTACCAAAAGTATATCTCTAAAAAATAAAACCAAAACAAAACTTGTTTATACTAATGTGCTAGATGAAAGCTCCAGTATGTGCTCATCTCCAGGATAAAATCACAACTCAGTAGGCTCTTCCAAAATCCTTCACAGTATTGCTCCAAACTCCTATCCCATTTTTTTATCTTATTTTCCCATGCTCTAGCTACACTGAATTTCTCCTAATTCCCAAAGATATCATGATCTTTCCAGGCCTCCAGGCCTTGCACCTACTACTCCTGTCCTTGGAATGCCCTTCACTACGTCCTAGTCTTACATGAGCACCAAGGTCAAATGTCATCTACTATCTGCCTTTGCTAAATGGTTCCCCTGGGAACCTTGTGGCTTCCTACTCTGTATCTAGAGCAAAATTTGTTTAAAGGTATGTCCTCTCCCCCAAATGATATGCTTGTCCATAGCAAGAAACATTCCACTCCTTCATTTATATAGTCACTCAACAAACATTTATTAAATGACATATGGAAATCCACATACATACAGTGCTATTCTTCTGATCCAGCACTGAGAACAGTGGCCACATAGAAAAATGACATACAGTAAGAATAGAAAGAAGCAATAATGTTCAATAAGAACATTATTGAAATAGTTCCCCATTTCAATGTTTAAATAAAATCTGAATAGGGGCCGGGCGCGGTGGCTCATGCCTGTAATCCCAGCACTTTGGGAGGCTGAGGCAGGTGGATCAGTAGGTCAAGAGATCAAGATCATCCTGGTCAACATGGTGAAACCCCGTCTCTACTAAAAATACAAAAATTAGCTGGGCATGGTGGCACAGCCTGTAGTCCCAGCTACTCGGGAGGCTGAGACAGGAGATTTGCTTGAACCCAGGAGGCGGAGGTTGCGGTGAGCCAAGATCACACCATTGCACTCCAGCCTGGGTGATAAGAGCAAAACTCTGTCTCAAA